TCTCACTTTTCTGTGCAGGGTCTTCAGTTTGTGAATTAAACCTCAGAACTGAGTGGCAGAAATAAAGCTCCACGATTTCGAGATCAGTTCTCACAGAGTCCAAACTCTGAGCCCTGGATATTTTAATCTCCCCTGCATCTGCGACAGCAATTCTTTTTTATCCTCCTGGACTAAGGAAACTGTAACTTTTACATAATATTCCATGCTGCAGATGGAATATGTGGAGACCTGCACTGTTCTTCCCTTGGGGACTGGGAACTCCTGACAGGGGTAGTTTGCAGGATCCTGTTCAGTGAACGACAACTTGTGCTTGACAGTTTTAATTTGTTTGAGAGACATTTTGTGCCTCTGGAGTAAATCTTAGACTCTGAGGAAGAGTCTTCATTTGGGAATTTCTGTGTGTGAGAGAGAGAGCTGTAACATGATTTAATTGATCAAAAATAGCAGGGAACTGAGTTCTGGGGTCAGTGAGTGAACAAAGATGCTGCCACAGCTTCTGTTCAGGGCACTGTTTGGGCCTCAAATGTCACTGTCTGCAAAAAAAAAAAAAAGTCAAATAGCCTTTGATGACAGAATTACACCACCCTGACTATAATATACAGTAATACTCCAAAAAGTGACACATATCCAATGGAATTAATGCAGTTGCTTTGGAGCTGAAATTACGGATATGTGAGTGTTGCCAGACAAATTAATTACAGAGACCCTTAGAGAAGATGCTTTACATCCCTCAGTTAATTTGGCACCAGATTTTTTTTTTTTTACATCCATCTCTCCAAACCTCTTGAAGGAGAAGACACTGAAATGAAGCCCAGAGTTTAACTGTCAGGATCTGGATACACCTGGACAGGAGGGAGAAGATCCTGAGATCCAGGGAGGCTTCCTGAGGCTTCATTCCCTCCTGTGTCTTGTGGTGCAGGAGAGGGTTTGAATTTGGTGCCTGAGCTGCAAATTCCCCCCCTTTTTTTTTTTTTTTTTTTTATTAAGCTGGCAGTGTCCTACTTGTGGTGACCCAAAGGCAGGGATGACACCTGGGTGAGTGTCCAGGTGTGGAATCTTGTTGTTGGGCGAGCGAGGGAAAAGCGTAGGCGGGTTTGGGGACAGCCCCGGATTAGAGGCAGCAGATTCCCAAATTAAACACTCACTCCTGGTAATTGCTTTGACCTTAATTAGGTGTCTTATCAGCGAGATTATCCTGCAGAAACGGTGTCAGGGACTGTGGGTGTTAAGCACTAGTGGGAAGTTGAGAAAGGAAGGAGGCAGGTAATTCCCTACCTGTGGAATGGGGGCAGCCTGAGCCCTTGGGGAAGAAATACAGAATTACTGCTTAAGGAAGAGATGAGTTTGCTGTCTTGCTGTCGTGGGTGTCAGGAATCCAAGCCCCTTTCCCAAACCTTTGGGTGCTGAAAGGCTTTTCTGCTGACCTGTGCTAATCTACTGTAATAAACACTTCAAAAACACCTCTGTGCACCATAATGCAAGACACTGATGCCAAATGGGCCAAGAAAAATTCTGCTCTTGAATCTGTGTAAAAAATACTCCAGAGCTCTTGCTGATTTCTGGGTGTCTGAAGAACAGAACAGTGTAATGCAACACCAAAAAATGTTTTTTCTGTTCATAATTAGTCTCCTCTGGAGCGAGCACGGAAGGTTTTGAAAATGTTTCGAACCCACAAAAGCTGATTTGGGTTGTTTTCTGTTAAAAGACTCAGACCAAAAGTGCAAATTCTCACTAATGTCCGGTTTTCTTTTTTTTGTGTGTGTGTTTTAAAGTCCCTTCTTACAGAATGCAGCCTGTGACCCCCCTGGGGATCCTGTCACTGGTCCTGAACATCATGTGTGGGGCTCTGAACCTCATCCGAGGAGTCCACCTGGCAGAGTATTCATTTCAGGTACCTCTGATGGCACTGAATCCTGGGAATGGGCCAAAGGCAGAGAATTCCATGTTGAGGGGGGCAGTTCTGCTGGCTCTATTCAGTTTTATTTTTATTTATGTTTGAAGCCTTTTATTCTTCTTAAAATCTGTAGAAATATTTTACTCTTGCCAGCCTGGCTGGATTTATTATTTTTTTTCCCCCCCTCTCCTGTTCTTATATTTTATTTTAGATCCTTCCCTGTAATTTTTTTTTTTTAAAAAAAGAACATGAAACTGCAAACAACATTTTGAAAGCAAAAGTGTCCTGCCTGTGTGCTGACACAGTTTTATTTAGCAGGAACTGTCACATAAGTTCTTGGTGTCTTTTTTTTTTTTTCAATGATTATTGATCTTGGTGTTTAACACTGTGACAGTCAATCAGCATAAACTAAGATGAGAGGTGCTTGACTATTTTTATAGTGTTCTCAAATATCAAGCAGCACTTGCTAAAAACTGTGCCTGACGTCGCTGTTTGTCACTTCTTCTAATCCCAACAGGAGGACCACGAAGGAATTGGGAACGTGATAGCTTTTTTTGTACCTTTTCTAGCCTGTGTTTTTCAGGTATGTTCACTGTCAGTAAGATTCTTTCTGGTTATTTTCAGATTCTAATGCACAAGACAAGGGTGATTTTCAGCTAAGCAGAGGTTTTTAACATCCTACCTGAAGGGTTCCACTGAGGCATTCCAGTGGGATCACTAAAAATACAGTTAAACGGGGCACAAGATGACAGCTAAAGTGGCATAAATACCATTAAAGGCACAGTTTGACCCTTGGCAAATTGCAGTTGAGTGGGATAAACAAATGCTCTCCCAAAGAAGGTTCTTCCCCAGAGGGATGAATGTCCTTCTGTCAGCGCGAGACTTAGTGATGGGCTTTTGCCTAAGCAAATCTTTGCAACATTATTGAAAACGTTTTAATTTACAGTGAAAATCACAATCAGTTCTGGTGGCAAATGCAGGGCTTGACTTCCTCAGACTTCTCTTTTCCCTCATGAGTATTTTATGCCAGAAGCGTTTGAGGAAAATACAAGCGTGCTCCAGTTTTTCTTGAGAAATTCCTTGAGTTCCTAAAACAGCGCTGCACAACCTTTAACTTTAAGGGCAATATGTTGTTGGAAAATCTGGATTTTTTAAGCCTGCCATCCCAGGAAGCTGCAGCAGTTGGGTTATTACTGGGAATACCTTAATGCCTCCAGTGCTTCCATTCCCTTGTGCTGTTGCATTTGAATGATGGTTTGAGGACCGCTCTCTGCAGGCTTCCATTTACTATTTATGGTGTTCAAAACTTGCAGAGAGGGTATTTATTGTATTATGAGATGATTCAATGTCTTTTCAGCCTTCTCACCCCTCTGCTCAGGGCAGAGCTTTAAGGTGAACATGCTAATTTAGATCTAAATTCTTGATGCAAGCGACTCTTCACAAAGAAAGGCTCTGTCCTGCTTTTTTCCCCTCAATCAGTACCTGGAGCCAGGGAAGCTCAGTGAAGGAATGTTGTCTCTCATCCTTTGGATTTATTTACAGCAGGCATCTTCCCAAAATGCCTGTGCACAAATTGCAGTGATCTGTGCCTGTGGCACCAGCACAGTTGGAAACTGTGACCCCAAGTGAGAAAGGCTGAGTTAAAAAAAGGGACTCTTCTGTCAGCACTTGGAGCTTTCAGTTTGCTCCTGGAAGGGTTGTTGTGCTCTTCACACACCCTCAGCAAGTGGGTCCCACCTGTCCCAGGCAGCAATTCCCTCTGTAAATCCCCCTGGGATTTTGTGGCTCAACCTCTAACACTGCCCCTCTGCTCCTCTTGCAGTGTTACTTGTACCTCTTCTACAGCTCTGGCAGGAAGGTGAAGACATTCGTGCTCCTCTTCTGCGTCTGTTTTTGCAACATCCACCTGTATGGGCTGAGGAACCTCTGGCAAATCGCCTTCCACATGGGAGTGGCGTCCCTTTCCTCCCACCAGATCCTGGCAAGGCAGCTCCTGGAGAAACAGCCTGACTGTGGCGTGTGAGAACACACTTGGGCTTTGCTGCTCGATTTTTACAACTGGCCGTTTTTAATTTGTTGTATTCCCCTGGCCAAAACTAGCTGGGGGGGGATTTTTAGGGATTTGTGGCTGTTGCAAGGAGGGTGGTTCCCAGCCACCTGAAATAAAGTAGGATGCTGGAATCACGTCCAGCACGCAGGGAGCGAGGAGTGTCGCTGGGTGTAACATCTTGTCAGGTGGCATCGACAGATGGAGCTTCTTCACCATCAACAGGCTTTTACACCTCGACTTGCACCACCCACACAGTGATCTGCCACTTGTCCTTCTGGCTTTGGGACAGTTTGGCAGGTCAGTGTCTTGCCCTGCTCCTCAAAAGGTGTAGTAAAGTGATAAAAGTGATGGGGAACGTTTTTTTTTGTCTCTGGAATTTGGGGAGGGTTAAGATTCTTGATAAGTGTAAGTCAAGGGGTCGTTTGCTGCAATTAGGTGAGTTCACAATCAGCGGGGAAAAATGGTTAGGGGAAGTTTCAGGGTGATTTGTCTGGGTTTTGAAGGGCAGGAACAGGCTGTGGCTCTTGCAAAAACCATAAAGGCTATAAATATCTCCTGGCTAAACTGCACATTGTAGTTAAGTGTGTGCTCAGTGGTTAATTGCAACAGTGCTTGGGCAGCATAAAATAAACCAAGTGAGTGATCTCTCAGCTCAGGTGGCCTTAGTTTCCTTGCTTAAGGTCACTTTTAGTGCAAGGGCAAGTCCATGTTTGCTTGGTCTGTGTGGATAATAAATCGTGCCAGGCCATTGACTCCTTCACCTTTTTAAGGGAAATAACAGGTGGCTGGTGAGCAAAAACCCATTTCCAGGAGCAGAAAGTCAAGAGCAGGTTCTCTTCATTCTGTAAAACACCTTCAGTCAGTGGAGTCCTTTTACACTCCAGCTGAGTTTCTGAGTGTGCATTTGGAATACAGGACTGCAGAGCTGGAATTCTTCTGGGTGTGCTGGTGTTCCACGTACCTGGGCATTTTAGGGCACAGATGAATTAATTTAGGGCTGTTTGTTAAAAGGAAAAATGCATAGCATTTCGGTGCAGCAGGGTTGTAGGCACTCGAGTGGAGATGTAGAGGGCTGTAGGTGTGTCCTTGTGGAATTGTGGTCCTAAAATTTCCCTTTTGTTTTTGTTCTTGAGAAGTTTTTTTCTCTCTGGTTTCATTACCCCCCCCCCCCCCTCTCAGTTTCGTTCACCAAAGATTTATTTTCCTCTCACGTGATCTCTACCTCTGGTTGCAAAGAGATTAATTGACGTGCAGCTGAGTTGTGTTCCTTTGCAGAAACACTTAAAAAAAATTTCCTTCCTTGTATCTCAGTGAATTTTCCCGAAATCTCAGGATGCAAACGCAAATATCAGCGCAGGATGAGGCCGGAAAATTCGTGGTGCTGTACTTTGGAAGCACTTCTGGATGCAGCTGATTGCCCATTACAGCCTGACCAGTTTCTAGAGCATCAAGGGACTTTAATTCCAGAGCTTTTCCCGGCAGGAAAATGTAGATATTTCTTTTTCATTGCACTTACTGTGACACGCTGACATCATAAAAAAGCCTCTAAATGTGAGGAATGGCGTGGTGGGAATTGAGGGAGGGATATTTTAGACAGCCAGTAAACTGTGTGCCATGAGGGAATGGATTAAAGTTGGGATAAGGGAATGGATTCAAGTTGTTTGTCTGTCATTATCCCAGTTCTCTTTGAGTGGAAAAGTGAAGCCAGACCTCAACCACTGTCCTGAAGGAACCTGGGTGACCCCACAGGTGTGAGGGGTTATAATTTATATCCTGCTACAATTTTTCATGCTGCTCAGCCCCAGTTTTCCTCCTTGGGAAGGTTCTTTTGGAAACTTCATGGGAATTAAGCCATGAGTTTGGGATTACAAGTTGTTTTATTTTTTTTTTTAAAAAGACAAACCAAAATCTGAAAAAAATAACACCCCCAAAAAAATCTGATACTGGAAATGTTACACTTTAAGGGTGCTAGATCTGATTGTATTTTCTAGGAGCAGAAACCGGGTGTCAACCCCCACTGGGTTATCGTGGGGAATCATCCCGTGGCAAAAGGATGGAGGATTTTTTACCTCAGATGGACAAAACTTTGGGAAAAGGACTTTAGTGACGTGACCCAACTCCCTGCTCCTACCTTTTTAGCCTAAATCTGGCTAAATAATCCCAAAGAGCTTTCCTCTTCCTTGTCTTAAAGCCAGGCTGCTCCAGCTTCAGGCACAGGGAGCGTTTACAGCCAGGGGCATTTACATTCCTCAGGCTTGGACTCAGCTGACTGGAAGGGGCTGTAACATTCCTGATGCTTCCCAAGCATTCCAGCTGTTTGCTGTGTCCCAGAGCAGATCCCTGGGCCAGGTGATGTCACCCACAGCTCTGCAGCAGTGCTACAGCAAAGGTGTCTGGATGATTCCTGTGATTAACATGAAGTGGATAAATTTAAATTCAGCTTTCATTTAATTTTTTTCTTTTGTGAATTGATTGGTGGACGTGTCTGGATCTTTAGACCTTTCCCACCCAATGACCAAAGCTCTGCTTTGCTGTTAATCCCTTTGCAACCTTTTTTCTTTTTTTTTCTCCCTCCCCCTGTAATGTGTGTAATTCCTTATTACACTGTAAATTCCTTATTAAGGAATCTCCAGGGATTAATCTGGGTGCACTAACACTGTGCACTCTGCAGGTTTGGATTGGGATTCCAGGAGGAGGAGGCAATTTAACGTTTTTAATGTTGATGTTTATGGAGTGGCTCCCCCATCCACGTGGTATTTACGCAGTTAAACATCATCTCCTGCTGGAACAGCAAGAGGAATGGAACAGTTTACAAGGATCTCAGTGCTTTTTAAGGTGTAATAAAAAAGAATGACTTGCAGTTTGAGTACATGAGGTCTGACTCACGACGTGGGGTGGTTCCTGTGTGGAATCAAATCCCCAGGGAGGAATCCATCCCTCTTTGTTCCACTTTCAGCTGTTTAATGTGGCTTGAATTGCATCTTCTTAACTCTGTCAGTGTGCAAGATAAGTCTGTTGGAGACTCTTTTCCTCACCCAGCAGCTCAGCACAAGAAAATTGGCAAAGAATAAACTCCAATATTGAATTTCCAAATTTTCAGTGCTCAGTCACTTTATGAAGCTGATAATTTTCCATGTTGGTTTTTTTTTTTTCCCCTCCTTTCTCCCAAAAACCTGTTGAGTTTGTAGAAGGTGGGCTGGTACCTTTTTAGACATTTTTGCACTGTATTAATAATCGAACCTGTGTAAATGTGTATAAAATCATTTTGCATGTATATATGTACATATATCCAATAAATGGCTTTTTTTGGTTTTTTTTTTCTAATGGTTGTCTTCATTTAGAGTTTTGAATTAACTGATTGTATCAGCTTTTCATTTTTGGAGGCACCTTTAGTGTTCTGTGTGGCATCACTTGAACTACATAAACACCTTTATAAATCTGGGTTATGGAACTTTGTTATCCAAGCAAGAGATTGCAGCAGGCTGTGATAAAATCTTTTTATAGCTGTAACTATCGTGCTCTTTAATTTCAGAGGCTGTTACAGGGGATTTTCCTGCAAAACTTGTATTTTGAAGTGTAGGAGTGTGTGAAATAAGGTGTAACACGGTGCCATAGGTCCTCTTCCAGCTTCCTGGAAGTGAGTGATTGGGATTTGGCACTTGGCTGTTGGAATATCAGCCTGGTCTCTGACTGGAAATAGGTCAGGCAGTCCCTACTTAGAGCTTGTGGACTATTTTTTTTTTTTTTTTTGGCCAATTTCAGCCACCTTTCAGCCCTGAAGACACCAATCCATCAGCTTTATAGCAGCTGATGTGCCAGAAAATTCAGCTTTCCCACCACTGGAATGTGGAGGGTTCGGGCTGTGCTTTGGGAAAGGTGCTCTATGGGACAGGACTGAGAGGACCCTGCTGGGTCAGGAACCAGAATAATCAGAATAAGGTAAAAATCGAAGAGCTGGAAGAAACCAGGCTCATGGAATTAGTGGTTTCTTCCCATTTTTCTGCTCCCTGGTTCTCCATGGGAATGACACCTTCAAAGTGAAGGAGAGTGGGTTTAGATTGGATATTGGGAAGGAATTCCTGGCTGGGAGGGTGGAGAGGCCCTGGCACAGGTTGCCCAGAGAAGCTGTGGCTGCCCCTGGATCCCTGGAAGTGTCCAAGGCCAGGTTGGAGCAACCTGGGATAGTGGGAGGTGTCCCTGTCCACGGCAGGGGGTGGAATGAGATGATCTTTAAGGTCCCTTCTAACCCAACCCATCCTGGGATCTGCAGCGAAAGCAAAACACGGCTTTCAGAGAGAGGGAGAAGCCCCTGGAATGGGGGGAGAGGAGGAGCAGTGGGAGGTAAGAGGGGAAGGAGGAGGGAGCCTCGTTCTTCTGAACTGCTCTGCCCTTTGAAATCGAGGTGTTGTTTTTGTTCTGTAAATAAATGATTGCTCAAAGCAGGTTTCTTCTCCAGCTGCCGACAGAGGAGAACAGCAGCCTCTCCCTTCTCTTCTAAGGTGAGGGGAGAAAGCAATTATAACTCCCTTCCTCTTTTGAAGATGCTGATAAAAGGAGGTGGGAGGATCAGAGGGGCCCTGTGCCGAAAGAGAAACAACTCCTCAGGTGATAGAAGAGCATGTTTTTATTCTAAGCAAAGTAACTCCACTTCTGCTGCCTGCTGGCTTTCAGATGTGACCTGATTGCATGGAAAAACTGTTCTGCTGGGGAGGGGAGGGAAACCTGGGCCACAAAAACATGTATTTTTTTTTTTAATATATATTTTAATATATATTTTTATATACTTTTTTTAAATACATATTTTTATATATAGTGGCTGACCAAGTGACTGGCACAGGTTGCCCAGAGAAGCTGTGGCTGCCCCTGGATCCCTGGAAGTGTCCAAAGCCAGGTTGGAGCAACCTGGGCTGGTTGGGAGGTGTCCCTGCCCATGGCAGGGGGTGGAATGAGATGATCTTTAGGGTCCCTTCCAACCCAAACCATTCTAATTCCCTTGATTGTTTGTTTTTGTTTTTTTTTTTTTAGCCCTGGGAAGGCTGATCCAGGGAAGAACTGTTTTAAAAGTAAATTAAACACAAAACAAAGAGCCCTTAAAAAGTCTTTGCTTTCTGTTCCCATTTAAAGCTCAAAATAAGCAAAATGCAGAAAGCCTTAAAATTCCCTTT